AAAGTCTCGATCCTCAGTCGCTAGGATAGACAAAAAATTCGTATTCTTGAATTCTTGATCCCCTTCCTCAGTAGCATTGTTGCTGTCCCTCACTCTAACTCGTACCGCCTCCTGCGTCATACTACCAGCCAACTGTTACAGCAGTATTTGATTGAGGACCGCAGATAGAGGCGCACACAGCCCACCAGAGTCCAACCAACGACCACTACTCTCCGCTTCCCCCCAACCCTGCCCGAATCCCCGACTCACCGCCGGCGCCTTTCTTTTTACACAGGGAAATATATTAATATCACTCCACTACATGTGAAAAGGTCATGTCTTCCATAAACACCTCTGGCCGACTAGTAACCGGACATTTGGAGGACTTAGTTCTCCTCCCACATCATTAAGCTTTCAACACGTAGCACCACACTCTCCAAACTTTATCACAAACTACATACTACAACTATTCGTTTTAGTCAACGAGTTTCCTTTCTTGTAGTATTAATACACGTTTTCTAGAAAAGTGTTACTTCAAAGTGAAATAGATTCAACAGAGCCTCAGCTTCCACTTGACAGGTAGCGTTTTGATAAAATAATTTGAGGTTCCATCTCAAAATCAATTGATAATGATGAATAAAGTGGTTCAAGATCTTATCATTAGTTTGATTCGAATTTCTTTAAAAAAAAAATTGAATGGTGAAACATATTATCTATTAACATATTTGATGCATAAAATGATAGTTGGGATAAGTTTATTTGGATCGAGCTATTTGAAATAATTACTGTAATATTTTTTATGATATAATATATATGAGATAAAAAATGATTGAAAATATTTTTTAAAAAAATGAATTAAAAAATATGTTTATGATGCAAGTGAAATATTATGTGAAAATTTTTTATATCCAAACAAACTCGTATCGCCTTTACCTTTTCTGAAAATTTTGATTTTTTTGTCTTTTCTTTAGTGGAGAAAAGAAATTACTCCATCTGTTTCGTTGAAAGTGTCGTATTTTTTATTTTTGGACGTTACAAAATAATTATCATGTTAGAAAAGTTAAATTACCTTTTAGTCTATCTTTTCAATATAATCTTTCTTTCTAATCACATGTGTGTTCCCTTCAAATTCAAAATTTGAATTTATAAAATATGAAATTGAAAAGAAAAACACAAATATCATAATCAAATCATTATTTTTTAAAAGTTGAATTCTTCAAACATGGCTAAATAAAGGGACATGACTAAATGAAGGGCACGGGAGGAGTACTAATTTTTTGAACTTTACGCGTAAGGTCCTTGATGACATGATTGAATCATTGGCGCATGTTTCCTTCGCAAAAGGCCAAACGTGCGGAACACACGTGTCCCCCTCTCTTTCTTGTCTATTTTAGGTACGATCTTATTTTGCCTTTCGACGGTACCTTAGGCTTCCTTTCGATTGTTGCCTTTTCTAAAGTGAATAGTTGAACTAGCAGGTATTTTTTTCCCGTTTTTCGAAAGAACAATAATTTTTGCCCTTTCTAAAGTAAATAGTTGATCAAACAAATATTTTTTCCGTTTTCGAAAGAACAATTAAAGTGAAGATGAAGTGCACATAGTCAATACAGTACATGTTTTCCTTATCTTAGAATGCGTCTTTTGTTCTGGTTGTCTTTCCTTTCATATCTTGTCTACTCCTTTTCATATCTTGTCTCCTTTATTCTTTTGCTCAATATGTCTTTTTTCTTTTGTGCAAATTTGCCCTCATAATTGTCCTGAGATAAGATAGCTACACAGGTGAAAATAACCCTTCAAACCTCCGTTCTATCTGATGGTTGGTTATATCATAATTTGGTCGCTAGTTAATGTGCTGTGTGACTGCATGAATGTCTATCTATCTATGTCTGTTTATATCTACCTATACTCGCCGTAGAAGTATAAAAGTGTGAATGATCTAGAGAATGGTAGGGTTAACCACCAGCCCCAGCCTTTGGGCTGGTGGAGTGGGATGAACCTTGTCTCCTACCAAAAAATGTCACATTTAAGTGGTTTGTTTCTAAAAAAATTCATGCGGATGTGCTGTGCACCCGTCTGATCCGATGGTGGTTCAGTCCCCTCCGAGTTATTCCTGGACCTCCTTAGGTCCGCCCCCTCCCCCTTAGTGTAGGATAAAATAGAGAATAGTAAGGTGAATTACCATTGACTAACGTTTCCACTCCATCTCCAATTATTTCTTGTGCTTAAAATTTCTTACTCAAAGCAAGGAAAATATTATTGTTTGCACTTCGACCATTTGTTATATCATATAATATAATAAATGAAAAATATATAATAAAAAGGATAGCAGGAGTGCAAATAACAGTTTTCCAAAACAATGACAAAATGTTAAATAGCCAGTCAAGACAAACAAGCTGTTAGGACAAAACAAAAACATGCAAAAAAATCCTTTATTGACTTGGAAAATCTTTATAAAAAAAATCATGAACTATTACCCCCTTATCAACAATCGTAGTGCTCAAATAAAGAGCAAATAGTCCAAGTTTAATGAACATTACAACTCAATTGATGTGATTCAAATTCATTAGAAGAAACTAAATGTTAAATTGATGTGACAAAAAGACGTAAAAATAATTTAGCTTTAATTAAAGTTATGCTTCACCTTAGTCGTATCCAAGCAAACAACGAAAATTGTTCATATACTTCACCCATAAACACTTATATGTCACTGCCACAGTTCTTTTTCCTTTGAGGGAAAAAAAATGGAAGAATAAATTAGATATTTATATATGCATTCAAACAAAAAATAAATAAATGAGAGTAATAAAATAAATTAAATTAAATAAGAATTATAAAGTTTAAAAAAGAAAGAGTAAATAGCTAGCTAGAAATAATAAAATGTGGTGGATCATTAACATCCTAACAATGATTTATTTAGAAGTGTTTGGGTCATGATTCATCTAGAAGAGTCAAAAAAATTTCAGAAAACATACCCATATAAGAGTTCAAATTTGAGAAACATTTTTACAAAAAAAATTGATTAAAAGAACTCAGAAATGTAAGAATTATTCTATTCTAAGGCCAACAATTAAAATTTTATAAAGAAATTTAGTATTTCAAAAGTTTCATATTGTGGATTAATACAATCACATGCAAATCACGTGAGGTTATTATTAAAGATGCACGGAACATTTGTATTTCTTGAGAGTCTGCAGTGTTACGATTGAATAATCATACATAAAAAACAACAGACATTCACCTGAAAATTTATCTAATAATAATAAAGAACTTTGCTATAGCAACTACTTACTATTATCCAATTGCATGCAAATTGAGTGGTCATTTCCGTGCCCATTACGTACTCTTGTAATGCTGAATTTACTAGCTCCGTACCACGTTTCCTGAGCTGCTGAGGGACTCTCGTGACCGCGGATACAAGTTCCCTCCAGATGCAGGGAATCGTTTGTATGGTGCCAATAATGATAGGGCAAGATGAGTCAGAAGAAAAGGGCGTCGCAATGAGCGGAGCAGAGAAGGAATCTTTGGCCGCAGAGAAAAGGACTCGCGGCTCAAGCACAAAAGCCCACGTACGCCGGAGCGTGGCTATTACGGTATCCGCCGTGTCCCAAGGACGCCCACAAAGTTTGGTAAAAGAGCGATCCTCCTCCTCCTCCTCCTAATCATTTTCTCGGACCCAACCTTAATGGTGTTTGGGTACGCACGTATATGGTGATGTTGTTTGGTTAATGATTGTCGATGGGACGATTTCTTGACCTAACCATTTAATTAAGCGTGACATCCTCGAGTTTGATCTGCTTCTTCTCCTGCTAATTGACACGCTCCAGCCCCCGGATGCTTGCTTCTGCCTTGATCCTCACCCTCTCTTGGTCACCATTTGCTGCTCCCACCACCTTCTTCTGTGAATGATCATATTCGTGCTAGAAGAAGTTACCTAAGTCACAAG